TACCAAGTTCTTCCTGCTCCAGGGCCTTTGCCCTTGCTGCTCCATCTGCCTGGAACGTTTCCTACGTCTTTCCAGGCTCTTCCTTCTTCTTCAGGTCTCAGATCAAATATCTGGTCCTCAGAGAGACCCTCCCCGACCACTCGTCAAGCATCATGCCCCACACCAACCCTGTAATTTGTTTCTAATCCATAACTGCTTTTTTTTCTTTTTTGAGACAGTCTCGCTCTGTCACCCAGGCTGGAGTGCAGTAGCGCAATCTCGGCTCACTACAACCTCCACCTCCTGGGTTAAAGTGATTCTACTGCCTCAGCCTCCTGAGTAGCTGGGACTACAGGTGTGTGTCACCATACCCAGCTAATTTTTTGTATATTTATTAGAGATGGGGTTTCACCATGTTAGCCAGGATGGTCTTGATCTTCTGACCTCGTGATCTGCCTGCCTTAGCCTCCCAAAGTGCTGGGATTACAGGCGTGAGCCACCACGCCCAGCAACTCTGCCTTATTTTATTCATAGCACTTGTCAAGGTTTCAAATGATCCCATTTATGTATTAAATTGTCTTTATTTTGAGACAGAGTATCACTCTGTCACCCAGGCTGGTGTGCAGTGTGCAATCTCTGCTCACTACAACCTCCACTTCCCAGGTTCAAGCGATTCTTGTGTCTCAGTCTCCTGAGTAGCTAGGATTACAAGTGTCCACCTCCACACCCAGCAAATTTTTGTATTTTTAAAGTAGAGACAGGGATTTTACCATGTTGATCAGGCGGATCTTAAACTCCCGTCTCAGTCTTGGGATTATAGGCATGAGCCACGGTGCCTGACCAAATTGTCTTTTGTCCATCCCTTCTGTCCCATTAGAATGTAAGAACCTTGAAGGCAGGGATGCTGCATCCCTAGGTCTAGCACAGAGCCCAGCACCTACCAGGTGTTCAGTGAACGTTTGTCGAATGACTGAAGGAATGTAAAATGCTCAGCACAATGCCTGACATAATAAAAAAATCAAAATTGCTGGCTCTTGGGGTTACATAAGTGTTAGTGACTATTATTGCTATTTTTGAGGACTACACGCCACTCAACAGTTCTTAGATCAGGTGGTTATTTGAGTCCTGTATAATGGAGTGTCATAGGAGAAACAGGGATATGAGACTTAGTGGATACTGTTGAGGAATAGACAATAAGCTGGGAAGACAGGAACTCAGCAAAAACAATCATGATGTGTTGAGCTCATGATGCATTGAGTTATTCTAACAAGACTGGAAGTGAGTATAATTACCCTTCCCCTCCTTTTTTTTTTGTCTTCAAATGGATTCTTGCTCTTGTTGCCCAGTCTGGAGTGCAATGGCACAACATGGGCTCACTGCAATCTCTGCCCCCTGGGTTCAAGAGAATTTCCTGCTTCAGCCTCCCAAGCAGCTGGGATTACAGGCGCCTGCCACCACACCCGGCTAATTTTTGTATTTTTGGTAGAGATGGGGTTGCGCCATATTGGCCAGGCTGGTCTCGAACTCCTGACCTTGTGATCCACCTGCTTCGGCCTTCCAAAGTGCTTGGATTATAGGCATGAGGCACCATGTCTAGCCCTACTCTACTTTTAGATTAGAAACTGAGGCTCAGAGAGGGTGACATGCCTAAGGTCACCCGGTATGTCTCCAAAGCACTTAGCTCAGTGTGGAGACTGAGTGGCCAATGTGTCATCGGCACATCTGTCTGGATCTCTCTGGGGCATCTCCAGCACTTGTGTATACCGGGGCACACTCCATGCCCATGGGCACAGGGTGGTGAGCTTTGGCTGTGTGTGTTTCTCACTAGGGGTCTGAGAGGTCTTTACCCCTGAGCTCCAGGGTCTGGGCTCAGGTGGCCTTTGTCCTGTGACTGGAAGAAGGCACTCTTGCATGGATGTCAGGCATGACATGAGGCAGGCCTAGCTGGCACACAACGGGGGCGGGGTGAAGAATGAGGATGTGCTTGTGCTCATGGGGACACCTGCATCGGCCGATGGCTCGCTGTGCCGGTGCACACGTGCATACACACGGACACATACAGGCACACAAGTGTACACACACATCCCTCACAGCCTCTTGCTCCCCCAGGCACACTGACAGCCCTTGCTCACACCGGCTGAGTCACTCTGCGTGTCAAGGGCCTTTCCAGGTCCCCAGCCTGACTGATGTCTGTCAAGCTTTTAGTGTTGCAATGACAGGGCTGTGTCCCTCCTGCTCACTAGACCTCCACAGAGCCCTGCCCGGGGCAGCGCAGAGTGGGCACTTAGATTTGTGGAGCAAATAAATTTACAGCATAGCACGGTGGCTCATGCCTGTAATCTCAGCACTGCGGAGGCTGAGGCAGGTGGATCGCTTGAACCCAGGAGTTTGAGACCAGGCTGGCCAACACAGCGAAACCCATCTCTACAGAAAATACAAAAACCAGCTGGATGTAGTGGCACACGCCTGTAGTCCCAGCTACTTAGGAAGCTGAGGTGGGAGAATCACTCGAACCTGAGAGGCAGAGGTTGCAGTGAGCCGAGGCTGCACTCTAGCCTGGGTGACAGAGCAAGACTTTGTCTCAAAACAAACAAATAAATATATTCACTCCTTTCCTCATTCCATTATTAACTTATTGACTTACCTCTTCCTTCCTTCCCTCACTCACTCGCTCATTAATTGAGTCAGTCACTCACTTACTCCCTCATTCCTGGCCTCCACGACGAAACAAAGCTGCAATCCTGCCTCCCCACCATCTCCTCCCCCGCCCAGCCTCTATCTGCTGAGAGCCCATCAGATGCCAAGCCCTGACAGCTCTTCCCCTGCCACACCTGGTCCATCGACCCTGCCCCAGGACACACCCTAGTGGACATCCTGTTTTTCACCCTTCTCCCTGCCCTGACCACATGTCCCGGGCCGGATGCTTATGAAATCCTCTGAGTTATTCCATCACCAGGTCCCTGCTGGCCTGATGCCCAGAGTTTGGTTTTGAGTCATGTGCTCTGGGACATGGCAAGGCTGGGATTGGAAGCTCACGGCCCGGGTGAGACCAAGCCAGGCTGAGATTCAGAGCAGGGCCAGGGTTGCTGGTCCCATCCGTGCACATCCATGGGCACATCTGTGAATGGACTCACATGACAATGTGGCCCAGACAAGGCCACGCCATGTCCAAGGTCACAGGGAATGTCAGTGAGGGAACTCAGCCATGGCACATCTGTTCACTCATGGATACCTCTGCACAGAGGTGGAGTTAGACACCATTGCCTAATATTACAGGGCCAGGGTTTGAGTCCAAGCCATTTGACTTTGGGCAAGCCATTTTACTTCTCTGAGCTTTATCTTTTTTTCTTTCTTTATGTATATATATATATATGAGATAGACTCTCACTCTGTCACTTAGACTGGAGTGCAGTGGCACAATCTCGGCTCAATGCAACCTCCGCCTCTCAGGTTCAAGCGATTCTCCTGCCTCGGCCTCCTGAGTAGCTGGGATTACAGGTGTACCACCATGCCCAGCTAATTTTTGTATATATTGTTTAGACAGAGTCTCACTCTGTTACCAGGCTGGAGTACGTGTCGAGATCTTGGCTCACTGAAACCTCCGCCTCCCAGATTCAAGTGATTCTCCTGCCTCAACCTCCCGAATAGCTGGGACCACAGGCATGCATCACCACGTCTGGCTAATTTTTGTATTTTTACTAGAGATGGGGTTTCACCATGTTGGCCAGGCTGGTCTCCAACTCGTGACCTCAAGTGATCTGCCCACATCTGCCTCATTCCTGTAATCCAACGCTTTGGGAGGCCGAGGTGGGCAGATCACTTGAGGTCACAGGAAAGCACACACATGTCTATCCGGATACACACCAGTTGCTGTCTATACCAAGCGCTCAGAAAATCCTCCACAACACCACACCAGGAATGATGTGCATTGTTGAGAAAAAAAAAAAAAAAAAAGTCCGCTCCTAAGACCTCACAGACACAGGCATTCAAGTGTAAATTGAGGGACCCACCGGAGTTCTTGAATAGCACGTTACACTCCTGGATGCACACCAACGGGCATGTGAATTATGCTGGTGAGGCCTATAGGCACTGGCACACTGCATTTGCACTCACTCTGCTTCTGAATTTTTTCGCAGCTACATTTACTGAGCACCTACTCTATGTAAGTGAACATAAAGCAGTCTGGTGCAGCGGCTCATTCCTGTAATCCCAACACTTTGGGAGGCCGAGGTGGGAGGATCAGGAGGTCAAAAGATGAAGACCATCCTGGCAACATGGTGAAACCCCGTCTCTACTAAAAATACAAAAATAAGCTGGGTGCGGTGCCATGTGCCTGTAGTCCCAGCTAATCTGGAGGCTAAGACAGGAGATTCGCTTGAACCCAGGAGGTGGAGGTTGCAGTGAGCCTGGATGGCGCCACTGCACTCTAGCCTGGCAACAGAACAAGACTCCATCTCAAAAATAAGTTAAATAAATAAATAAATAAATAAATAAATAAATAAATAAAATCCACCACGGGGAAGCCTTAGGCAAAGGACTCACCTCTCTGATCATCAGTTACTGCATCTGTAAAATGAAGATGGTAAGGCCGGGAGTGGTGGCTCACGCCTGTAATTCCAGCACTTTGGGAGGCGTGGGGGGTGGATCACGAGGTCAGGAGATTGAGACCATCTTGGCTAACACGGTGACACTCCATCTCTACTAAAAATACAAAGATTCGCCGAGTGTGATGGAGTGCGCCTGTAGTTCCAGCTACTTGGGCGGCTGAGGCAGGAGAATCGCTTGGACCCAGAGGGTGGAGGTTGCAGTGAGCCGAAATCTCCCCACTGCATTCCAGCTTGGGCAACAGAGTGAGACAACGTCGAAAAGAAAAAGAGACAAAGACAATAATTTCTTTCTTAACAAGTGATCCTGAGGAGCAAATGAGAAATAATGGGTCGTGCCCAGCACACAGTAGGTGCCCCTAACAGTCTGTGTCTCTCCTCCCCAAGCCCCAGTGGCCAGGGAGAAAGGAAACAAAGTCAGTATCCATCCCAGTTGTTTATTGAAAGGGAAGGTGGGATGAGAGGGGTGCAGGATGAGGAAGGGGGCGTGAGGCACGAGAACAGTAGGGTGTTCCCTGGTGGGGGCGGCCTGAGGAGCCCCCAGGAGGCCCTTCAGGCTGGTGGAGACTGAGGGTGAGGGTTAGGGAGGGCAGGGGAGCTTTGAGCGCTGCTCTCCGGCTGTATCGGAGCTCTCTCTAGTGGTACAAAAGAGAGACGACGCCTCCGGTAGGGAGGGGCTGGTGCCTCCGAGAGGGCACATTTATTATCAGGGTCACGGTCAAGACTTGTGGGCTAGGTTTCTAGGTGGGTAGACTTTCAAAGGCAAAGACAACCCACTTCTCCTGACCCCCATCCCCGGCTCTTAGAGACCATTTAAATCCATATCTAAAGTAAATCCGGAGCCACCTGGGAACATCAGGCCTCCAGCTAGTCTTTCTGAGCCAAATCTGTCCCCCACCCTGTGGACCCTCGGGGAACCAGGAAGGTGCGGGACTGACTCTGCCCCACCTGTACAGCACAAGAGCTGGCCCAGGAGGAGGATGAAGATGTGTTTCTAGTTCCTGCATGCTACTTTGTTGTGTGCCTCCTTCACCCACCTCACCTATCAGCTGGGGTGGGTGGGCTGGGGGGCTCTGATTCCAAGAGGCAGGTAGAAGACACAGTGTGAGAGGCAAACGTCTTCACACATCCTGCAGGGGAAGTCCAAGTGAGCATCTGGGACACGTTGATGCTGACTGACCCCCACCCCTTCATCTGTGTCTACGGAGGGCAGTGTGTGCCCTCAAGCCTGTAGAGAAGAGGAGTCTAGTCCAAAGGACTCATGGTAGAGAGGCAGGAGCTGACGGCTTCAAAAGGCAACAGGCTTGCCCAAGGTCATTCAGAGGAAAGCGTGGGGACGGGTTGAAGGAGATGTTTTCTGCCCCTGAGGGCCTTGGGAAGAGGGTGTGGGTGGGAAGTTTGGGGAGCTCTTGAGGAAGGCTGGCATCTCGGATGAGTTGGAGCCCCACCCCTGGGGAAGGAGCACTGGGATTTGAGCTCCAGACTGGACCTGGGGTTGGGCTATAAAGGGACCGTGCTGAAAGGGAGAAGTTGGGGAAACACTGAGAGGGGGTTGTGGTGAGAAGAGGGAAGCTTCCAGAACCCAGATCTGTCTCCTCCTTAGGCCATTTGGGTAGCTCAGGAGTCCCTCTTGGGCTGGATGGTCTGCACAGAAGACTGCCCAAAGGGGCTGGCGGGTGGCGAGAACCATGAGTGGCCACAGGCATCACGGAAGATGGGGGAAAGCTGCTGGTCTGGCTCATCCCCGAAGACCTCCATGTGGCTGTCAGCTTCAGAGTCCAAGGGTTCTGCCTTGGTGTCCTGGCTCAGCCAGCCCATCATGACCCAGAAGAGGCAGATGGCAAGCAGAACTCCAGCCGCCCCACAGAGTGCCATGCCTGCCAGGCGGCAGGTGCCCAGGGCCTGGTTGTAGTCGGCTGCCCGCTGATCCAACACCAGGAACTCACCTTCACCGATGCCCTCTAGCTTGGGGGGCACCGCATAGCCAGTGGTCAGAGCCGCCACGCCCAGCAGCATAAGCAGGATCCCCGAGGACAGGCTGATCTGAGGGGAAGCAGACAGACCAGGAGGCAGTCAGGGTCAGCCAGGGGCCCCTGGCCAAGGGATCATGTTGGATCTTCACCATACTTAAGGGTAACCCCTTGATGCAACCTTAGGAGATGGGAATCACAGAACATACTTGCTGGGGTCTAACTGACAGGAGGCAGAAACTGTCAAGTTCTATTTGGAATCCTGAGGCCTCTTAATTTCCTTCTCAGCTCCCACTTAGCACTGGGTTTCTCCAGCCAACCCTGTGTTTCCCTCTGTCATGATTTGGGTCACAGCTCATCTCCTTGTCCTTTCTACCTTCTCTGTCTCTATTGGGTTAACTCCTATGCACCATCAGATCTCATCTCAAACCTCACCTCCTCAGGGAGAAGAGCCCAGGACTGACTCAGATCCCTTGCTTTACTCTGGGCAAACTGTACCCATTCATTCTTCAATACATTTACCATTGTGCACATTTGCACGTGTATTTTGGTTGTGATGTAAGTGATGTCTGCCTCTCCCACAGTACTGAGAGCCCTATGAGAGCAGAGACTGTGCCTGTTTTGGCTCACTAGGAGTCTTCTGTGCCTAGCATGTGCTAGCGCAGAGCAAAGGCTGAATAAATGTTCGCTGAATGACTAAATGAACCACAGCTAAGAGAGTTCCTCAAAGTCAGGGACCATGACTTTTTTATTTTTATTTTTATTTTTTTGAAATGGAGTTTCGTTCTGTCACCCAGGGTGGAGTGCAGTGGTGTGATCTTGGCTCACTGCAACCTGTGCTCCCGGGTTCAAGAGAGTCTCCTGCCTCAGCCTCCCGAGTAACTGGGACTACAGCCACATGCCACCACGCCCTGCTAATTTTTGTATTTTCAGTAGAGACAGGATTTCACTGTATTGTTCAGGCTGGTCTCAAACTCCTGACCTTGCGATCTGTCCTCCTCTGCCTCCCAAAGTGCTGGGATTACAGGCCTGAGCCACCATGCCCGGCTGGACCATGTCTTAAATTCTGCGTTCCCACGAGTCTAGCACAGTGCTTGGCAATAAGAAGATGCTTAAGAAATTTAAATACACACTAACCTTTCCTTGGATGTCTCCCTTGATCATTTCCTCTCCTGGTGTTCTCTGCAGACCTGACCTGAAGTTATGTAAGTTGGCCTCTCTGCCCAGGTTGGCACCTTATCTCCTCACTAGAGTGAAGTCCTTTGAAAGCAGGAGGGAAGCTCTGCCTCAGTCTGCCGAGAGTATTTAGCAAAGAGCTATGCTCATCGAAGAGACTCAGCTCATTGCCAACTCTGCACCTTGACCCATTGGTGCACCCTGGCTGACTGGTCTCCTTGGCTGTTCTGGAAATCAATTCTTCACGTTTTTTCACTGCCCTGGCAAGGTACCCCCATCTATCATTGGGAAGCCACAGTAAGATTTAAGTGAAATGAACCTCACTTCCTGCCAGTCAGCATATTCCATTTCTTAACCATAGTGATTCGTTCAAGGCTGGCACGTCGTGACCCAGTGAGAGCCAATGCAATGCTTGTCAGGACTTCCGGAAATGAAAAGCATTATTTCTTTTCACGTCTCTTGTAAATGGTGTTTTAAATGTCTGGCTATCCTGAATCTTTTACCTCTTCATATAAATGATAGAGTCAGTTTGTTGATGTCCACAAAATAACTTGCTGGGGTTTTGACTGGGATTGCACTGAATCAATGATCAGGTTGGGAAGAACTAACATCTTGACAATATCGGGTCTTCCAATCCACTGAACATGAACTATTTTTTCATTTATTTAGTTCTTGGCTATCTTTCAAGTTTTGTAGTTCTTCTCATATTGCAAATATTTCTTTCTTTTTTGGTGCTAAGGTAAATGGTAATATGTTTTTAATTTCTTGCTATTTTTTTCTCTCTTCTTTTTCTTTCTTTTTTTTTCTTTTTGACAGAGTCTTGCTCTGTTGCTCAGGCTGGTGGCACGATCATGGCTCACTGCAGCTTCAACCTCCCTGGCTCAAACGATCCTCCTGCCCCAGCCTCTTAAGTAGTTGGCATCACAGGCCCACGCCACCACATCCAGCTAATTTTTTATTTTTAGTAGAGATGAGGTCTCACTTTGTTGCCCAGGCTGATTTCGAATTCCCGGGCTTAAGCAATCCTCCTGTCTCAGCCTCTCAAAGTGCTGGAACTACAGGTGTGAGCCACTACCTCGGCCTTTTTATTTTTATTTATTTATTTATTTATTTATTTATTTATTTATTTTTTTGAGACACAATTTTACTCTTGTTGCCTAGGCTGGAGTGCAATGTCATGATCTCTGCTCACTGCAACTGCCATCTCCCGGGTTCAAGTGATTCTCCTGCCTCAGCCTCCCAAGTAGCTGAGGCTACTTACGGGTATGCACCACCATGCCCGGTGAATTTTCTACTTTTAGTAGAGACAAGGTTTCACCCTGCTGGTCAGGCTGATCTTGAACTCCTGACCTCAAATGATCCACCCGCCTTGGCCTCCCAAAGTGCTGGGATTACAGGCTATTATTTTTTTCTGAAGGAAATACCACTGAAAATGTTGACTTCCCTTGGATTGGTGTAGGGTTAAGATCTGAGGGTCTGCACAGTAGTGGCTATTTGGGGAATATGTGGGAGAGTCTGAAGCTTACAGGCTACTAGGGTGGGGGCGCCATGAGGAGCCCAAAGACTAGGAAACCTTGCAAAGTCCTTGGTGTAAAGGTTTGAACTGCCAGATCAAACTGCCTGGATGTATGCAACCTTTGGTCTCTTCTAAAAAATGAGCAATCTCGTCTCTTCATTATTATTTATTTATTTTGAGATGGAATGTTGCTCTTTCACCCAGGCTGGAGTGCAGTGGCGCAATCTCAGCTCACTGTAATCTCTGCCTTCTGGTTTCAAGTGATTCTCCTGTCCTCAGCCTCCCAAGTAGCTGGGATTACAGGCGCCTGACACCACATCCGGCTAATTTTTGTATTTTTAGTAGAGATGGTGTTTCACTATGTTGGCCAGGCTGGTCTCAAACTCCTGACCTCATGATCCGCCTGCCTCAGACTCCCAAAGTGCTAGGATTACAGGCAAGAGCCACCGTGCCTGGCCCATTTTTGTATTTTTAGTAGAGATAGGGTTTCGCCATGTGGACTGGGCTGATCTTGAACTCCAGACCTCAGGTGATATGCCCACCTCAAGCCTCCCAGTGCTGGGATTACAAGCGTGAGCCACCGCACCTATAATTATTTACATACAACAAATATATAACTAATTATGTAAATAATTTGTATGTAAATACAAATACAGTGAAGGCTCCCTTCTTTATTTAAACCCATTGGAGTTGGGTTGTTTCAATGTGCAAGACTCCTAACTATTACATTATCTCTTTTTTTCCTCTGAGCCTCAAATTCAGACTCATTTCCTCCATCAAGGCAGAGGAATCACAGGAGTTGCTCATCTGGCCTTACCTTCCAACACAGTGAGGGCCAGGGCTGGCGTGGGCACAGGACCAGAGGTCCCTCTGGGTCGTCGCTGAGAGCGGTGCCTGCACAGTCCTCATAGAAGAGGTGCAGGTAGGAGCGGACCCCATACCACTTGCCATCCTCCACGTTGGGGCCACGGCTGCAGCCGCAGGAATGATCGAAGCTCGGCATCATGGATCCCTGTGGAGCAGGTAAGGTGCAGCTGGCAGAGGGAGGGATTAGTGGGAGCTGCTCATGATGACCTTCATAAGCCCCCATATCTTTGTGTCCCACCTGCCTCTCCTCCCACTAGAGACACCCCACACTCAGCACAGTCTGGCCTTTTGGAATCCCAGCCTGTCCTTCCTGAAGCACACTGTGAATGAGCCAATGCCCTGAAGGGTTTGGCCCAGTGCTCAGCAATTGGAGGTGTCAGTAAATGTGCATGTTTACTCTGGAGGCCACCCAGTACCTGGGACTGTGGGCTCTGGAGCCTGACCACCTGGACTGGAGTCGTGGATACACTGCGTCCTGGATTCGTGACCTTAGACAAGTGCTTCCACTTTTCGGGGTCTCAGTTTCCTCATCTGTAAAACAGACCTAATAATCATACTTGTTTCATACAGTTATTGTGTCTGGTGCTGTGAAATGGTAGCTGCTGTGATTAGTACACTATTTTTTTTTTTTTTTGAGACAGAGTCTTGCTTGGCTCATTGCAAGCTCTGCCTCTTGGGTTCAAGTGATTCTCCTGCCTCAGCCTCCTGAGTAGCTGGGACTACAGGTGCATGGCACCACACCCAGCTAATTTTTGTATTTTTAGTAGAGATGGGGTTTCACCATGGTGGCCAGGATGGTCTCAATCTCTTGACCTTATTATCTGCCCACATTGGCTTCCCAGATTGCTGAGATTACTGGCGTGAGCCACCGAGCCTGGTCCTAATTTTTTTGTTATTACTTCCATCTTGAACTTTTTAGGCTCCATGTCTGGAAGTGACAGAGGCTCATCCTCTGCTCTCCTTCAGACACCCTTCTGGGGATAATTGTCATGGCCAACACTTATCCAGTTGGGCCGGAGTTCCCAAGCTGCAAGGCTATAAAAGGTCCTCCCCAGGACTGAAAGCCTCTAGATTCCAATAAATTTTGACTCCACAGGAAGTGAAAGTCAGGGACCCTCAGGATTAGAAGCTCTTAGGCTCAAGGGCTGTTAGATTTCCAGAGAAATCTATCAAAGAACCCCCTTTTTTCCCCACAAAAGTGGACACAGGTCTTGGGAGTGGAAGGTACTTGTGTATCCACATACAGGTTTGGCCCAAACCAAAGCCAGGAGGTGCCGGGGGAGGACTGGGCTTTTACCCTCGTCTCCATGATGACCCTCAGCCTTCAGTAGCAGCTCCTACAAAATGAAACAATGTGCTTGTTCCAAAGGGTAAGATAAAGGTCCTGCCAGCTCCCTCTCACTTCCAATCACTTCCAATCGGATGTGGTTCTCAAATCCCTGAATAGAGAACTCGCCAAAACACCACAGAGAAACGCACAGACACATGCTCACAAAGCACACAGGGAGGTACCCAGATAGGTACAACACACACACACACACACACACACACACACACACACACACACACACACACGGTTGGAGGTTCTGCTTGGACTGCAAGGCGCACAAGATCGCTGTCAAGAAAGCCTGCACGTAAATCGTGGCTCTACACCCTCCTCACTTACAATTCAGGGAAAAGAAGAGCGGGAGGGAAAAAAGGAAGAAAAATAACAGCAACAAAAGCCAGGACAGAGAACGGAATAAGGCAGAGACTAAAAGCGAAGGACCCTCGGAGGAAGAGGGCCAGAGGTCTGGAGGGCAGGGCTCTCCGGAGGAGGTGGGCGGGGCGGGCTCTGCGGAGGGTGCGGCCAGCGCCGTACCAGCCCCGGCGAGACGCTGGGGAGGCCCGGGTGGAGAGAATAAATGGGGCCGGGGGTGGCGGTAGGAGCCTCAGTGCGGTCTTATTAAAGACCTCAGGTGAGGAGGCGTGGAGGGAGCTTCGGAACTGTTGGCCTGGATCAGCTTCTCCCCTCCAATTCACGGCTTCCCCCACTCCAAATAGATGTAATCACTCAGTCCCACCGGTACTGGAGGAGGAAGGTGACCTTGACAGTGTCTCCCCCTCGGCCGGGCCCCTCCCTCTCCCGTTTTAGGGTTGCAGGGAGTAGGTCTAGCTGGCCGGAGACTGGGCAGGGAGGAAAGGAGGGGATGCTGAGGACCTGGCGCAGGTACCCGGGACGAGGGTTGCCATGGGAACCGCCAGGGTGATGTCCCTAGCCGAGAGCCGGGAGGAGCTTGGTGGGAAGGGAAGCGGGAAGAGGAGGGGGCTGCGTTGTCCGACGGGGGAGACTGCGGCGGAGGAGGCGAGGGGCAGGAGGCGTAGATGAAGGTGACAGGCGCCAGGGCCCAAAGACGGATGGAATCTGTCGCCTCTGCGCGGCCTCATTCAGTCCTTCCCAGGCCCTCAGACCCGCCCACTACAGCGCCCAGCGCTGCCCAGGCGGGGAGAAGGGGCGCCCTTGCCGAGGGGTGTAGACCGGGGAAAGCAGGCCACGTCCCCCTCCCTTCCCCCACCCACACCCGCACCGCTCTTTCTGACAGGACCACAGATCCCCTGGTCCACACTAACTGCGTCCTTTCCCCTAGAGAGAAACTGAGGCAGAGAGGGGTAGGAGTGGGTTTTGGGTTTGAAGAATTGGCGCGGGGTGGGAAGGTTGTTCTTCGAAGCCTCTACACACCCTGTGAACCCTGAGGTATCTAGGGGCGATGGGGCTGGTGCTATTTCTCCTCCCTGCTACTTCCCTGGGACCCCCACCTCCCAAACCCGAGGCTCAGGCGCAGCCGTCCAGTCCCAGGCGGGACACGGCCCGGACTGGGGCTGCAGGCAGAGCGCGGGGACTCTCCAGGGGATGGGGCTGGGGTCGGGCCGCGCGTGGAGCGGGGCTAAGCTCACCTCTGCCTGCAGTCTCCGCCGAGCTAGCGGGAGCCGGCGCGGGAGCCTAGAAAAGCGGGCTCAGTTAGCGCCTGCGCCGCAGTTGGGGGCGCTGGTGACACGGGGACGGAGGGGGACGGAGGGGGGCTGGCGGGGGGGGTGTCGGCCCGCCGCAGGTGCTGGCTCTGCAGACAGCGGCCCCTGCAGCTCCCCCAGCTCCTGTCCCCTTCCAGAGTTCCCTGCTCTCTCTGAGACCCCAGATCCCTCATAGAGACCCCTCGGACTCCCTGGGCCCCAACCCCTCAAAACTCCTCACCGAAGCTCCCATCACCCCCGCAGTTCCCCATCCCTCTCATGGAAGACCCATCCCCTCACTGAGCCTTCATCTCCTCGCCGTACCCTCAGTCCCTTCTCTGGGTTTTCTTCCCCCTCCTGAAGTCCACGCCCAGGTATAGAAACCCGCATCTCCTCGCTAAGCCCCCGCCGCTTCACGGATTCCCATCTCCAGGCTCCTACCGGTGAGTCCCCTCCCACTCGCCTTGAGAGCCCCTAGTCTCTCTGAAGCCCGCCCCCCTTCCCACTCAGTCCCCATCGTCTTTTCATCCTCTTTACCTCTTTGAGTCCCTATCCCTCCCTGGTACAGGATCAGCCCTCCTACCTTGAGAAGGGAGTTTGGGCGGGGCAGTGGGTTGGGAGAGAAATGACTTCCACTTTGGAAGGAGCAATGACACGGCCTCCCTTGTCCTCTCCTCCCCTAGCCCCAGTTCTGCCCTGGGCAGTGTGTGCCCACTGCCCGTCTCCCTGGAGAGCCAGCTGCTGCCAGCCACCTGCGTCTACTTCACACCCTGCTATGAGCTGTCAGCTTTGGTTCTGTCCCATATTTGCTGTGTGACCTCGGGAAAGTCACTGTGCCCCTCCAGCCTTCATCAGGCACACTTGCATGAACATGCCTTCGTGTCTTGAGCGTCCATGCTCTTTCTCCCTGTGCTAGAGGCTGGGGACACACGAATGAAGGAGCTTCGTAAGATGGGGCCACGTCTTTCTATTTTTAATTTTAATTTTAATTTTTTGAGACAGGCTCTCACTCTGTTGCCCAGGCTAGAGTGCACTGGCATGATCACAGCTCACTGCAGCCTCGATCTCCCAAGGCTCAGGTGATCCTTCCACCTCAGTCACCTGAGGAGCTGGGACTACGGGCACGCACCACCATGCCCGGCTAATCTTTTGGATTTTTAGTAGAGTTTTGCCATGATGCCCAGGCTGGTCTTGAACTCCTGAACTCAAGTGATCCACCTGCCTCAACCTCCCAAAGTGCTAGGATTATAGGCGTGAGCCACCACGTCTGGCCAAGGGCAGCCACATATTTCTTGTTCATGTTGTATCTGTGCACCTCCCATAGTGCGTGGCTCTGAGTAGGCAGCCCAGTAAATATTTACTGAACACAGTCTATTAATAGTAGCAAACATATTATGCTCATTATGTGCAAAGTGTTTAAGTGCTTTATATGTACTATTTAATACTCATTTAAGTGTGTGTGTGTGTGTGTGTGTGTATGTGTGTGTGTGTGTGCATGCGCATGTGCAGTGGGAGGAACTCTTGCAACTCAAAACTAAAGTCCCCAAATTGTGACAGGAGGTAGCATTGGAGAGGCAGGCAGAAATAAGACCCTGTGAGGCCTCATAAGCCAAGGTGAGGAGTTTGAGCTTCAACCCAAGGGTAGTGGGGAGCCATGGAAAGTTATAAAGAGGAGTGGGATGTGATCTAATTTCCACTCTGAAAAGACATCTGGCTGCTGTCAGGAGAACAGCATGTGGAGCACAAGAGTGACAGCAAGAGATCAGTGAGATCAGAGAAGACGGCGTCCTGGCCTGGTGCAGAGAAATGAAGAGATTCAAGATATATTCGAATGTAAAATGAACTACAGGAACAGCAACAGATTGGAAACAACCTGTGGTGGTTTTAAAATATGGCTATCACACTTTGGGAGGCCGAGGCAGGTGGATCACGAGGTCGAGAGATCGAGACCATCCTGGTCAACAAGGTGAAACCCCGTCTCTACTAAAAATACAAAAAGTTAGCTGGGCATGGTGGCGCATGCCTGTAATCCCAACTACTCAGGAGGCTGAGACAGGAGAATTGCATGAACCCGGGAGGCGGAGGTTGCGGTGAGCCGAGATCGCGCCATTGCACTCCAGCCTGGGTAACAAGAGCGAAACTCCGTCTCAAAAAAAAAATAAATAAATAAATAAAAATAAATTAAATAAATAAATAAAATATGGCTATCAATTCTTCAGCACTCCTCTATAGAGAGGTGGGATCCTTGTACCCTCTCTGAATCTTGGGTGAGCTGATGACTGCTTCAAGCAATGGTGGAAGTAATGCTCTGACTTCTAAGGCCAGGACACAAAAGTATGTGCAGCTTCTGCTAGAACTCTAGCTCTTGGAGCCCTGAGGCACCATGCGAGAAGTTTGTCTACCTAGAGGCTGCCATGCTGTGAGGATGCCAAGACCGCTGGGAGAGGCCACATGAAGGCACCAGTCCCAGCTAAGCTTAGCCTTGAGTCATCCCAGTTCAAGCTTAAGACAGGTAAGTGAAGAAGATCCAGATGAGGCTGGGCATGGTGACTCACACCTGTAATCCTAACACTTTGGGAGACCAAGGCGGGTGGATCACCTGAGGTCAGGAGTTTCAGATCAGCCTGGCCAACATGGTGAAACCCTACCTCTACTAAAAATACAAAAATAGCAGGGCATGGTGGCATCTTTTGTAGAGATAGGATCTCACTGTGTTGTCCAGGCTGGTCTCAAATTCTTGGGTGCAAGAAATCCTCCCACCTTTATCTCCCAAAGTTCTGGGATTATAAGCTTGAGCCACTGAGCTGGACCCATATCTAAAAAAAAATTTTTTTTTTAGACAAAGTCTCACTCTGTCTCCAAAGCTGGAGTGCAGTGGTGTGCTCTTGGCTCACTGCAACCTTCACCTCCCGGGTTCAAGCAATTCTCTTGCCTCAGCCTCCTGAGTAGCTGGGATTACAGGCACATGCCACCACACCCAGCTAATTGTTGTGTTTTTAGTAGAGACAGCGTTTCGCCATGTTGGCCAGACTGGTCTCGAACTCTGGACCTCAGATGATCCACCCACCCCCAAAGTGCTGGGATTATAGGAGTGAGCCACTGCACTGGGCCCCACATCTGAAATCTTTAACTACAAGGTCCCACACTCTGACTAGAGACTTCCTTCCCTTTCATTCTTGGACTTCATTGAGCTCCTCATGCTGGAGTTTCTGCATCTTTTCCAGATCCATCTGCTCCCTTCCTAGCAGCCCTGGCATCCTTCCCCGCTGAGCTAGGATCCATCCTGAGGTTCACTGTGGGATCTGCTCTCCCCACTTCTCTCTGCATCCCCCTTCACCTCCTCTTTCTGCCCTATCTGTCCAGGGAAATTCCAACCCAGGGGCTGGGATACCAGCAGCCTTCTTCTTCACTCCCACTTCTGATATTGCCAAAGAAAATCACATCTATGTAGACGGTTGTCTCCATAGGTCATGACCTCGGAGCCATCGGAGCAAATTCAGATTCTCTGCATCATGACTGAGTGACCTCCTGAAAGTAACTTACCCTCCCTAGACCCAGTGTTTATCATCTGTAAAATGAGAATTATCATAGTTTCTATCTCATAAGGTCATTGGGAAGATTAATTATCCTGGCATATAATAAATGCTTAATAAATGATACCCATCATCATCACCATATTATTTATTTACTTATTTTTTGAGACAGCCTCCTGCTCTTTTGCCCAGGCTAGAGTTTAGGGCTACAATTACAGCTCACTGCAGTCTTGACCTCCTGGGCTCCAACGATCCTCCCGCCTCAGCCTCCTGAGTAGCTGGGACTACCGGCAGGTGCCACCATGCCTGGCTAACATCATATTATTGTTGGTTGTGCCAAATCTTCACTATTCCTTTTTTAAAATTGTAGAATACACATAACAAAATTTACTGTTAGTGACATGTGTTACATTCACAGTGTTGTACCATCATCACCACTGTCTATTCCGGAATAATTTCATCACCCAAAAAAGGAAACTCATTAAGTAAGATCTCCTCATTCCTCCCTTCCCTCAGACCCTGGCAACCACTGATCTGTTTTCGGACCCTATGGTCTTTGTTTTTTCCAACTCCACATCCACTGTCCTTTCTTACAGTGACAGTATTTCCATTTCCCGTTAGGGAACCTCTTCGAGCAGGCTCTCAGTCCAAGAGGTTTCTCTGGGTTACTCACTGCAAGCCACCCAAAGGGTGAGCAAGTAACCAGCCAATCAGAGCCACTCTGATGGATTCAATAAATGACGTATTACCCAACTGGGGGGAGGGGAATCAACATAAGGGCTTTTCCTGGGACTTCAGGGAGAGATTCTTTTCCCAGCAGTTATATTTGAAGTCTGTGGCCATTTTGCTACCATATAGGGAAAAATCTGCCTGACACTGAAGCCAACGTAGATGAGGGAAGAGCCAAGTGATAAAGAGATAGATACTGAGCATCTGGAGCCAGCCATGCCTGAAGCCAGTGTCCCTTGATTTCTCAATTATGTGAGCCTTTATATTCCCTTTGTTTAAAGCCAGTTCAAGCTTAAAACTGCCACTTGCAGTGAGAACACTTCCCTACACTGTATCTAAGGCCAAGACCTTGCCCCTGACTCTAGGCCAGTATGTCTGTACAGTGCCATTCAGCTCTGCCAAAAGCTAAGGACATCAGCTTCTCCACAGCTTGGCTTCCCTGGTCTATTTTCCATCTCTGCTAATGGGAGCATCACTCACCTAACCTACAGGCATACCAGTCAGCCTCGACCCTCTCTCGCCCTGTCTCAATTCCTCTCGCTTCCCTTACTTCCTAGTAACCAAACCCCCGTCTCTACTAAATACAAAAAATTAGCCGGGCATGGTGGCACATGCCTGTAATTCCAGCTACTTGGGAGGCTGAGGCAGGAGAATAGCTTGAACCCGGTAGAGGGAGGTTGCGGTGAGCCGAGATCGCACCATTGCACTCCAGCCTGGGTAACAAGAGTGAAACTACCTCTC